ATTGCCACTCAAACAGCGATATAAATGATAATATAATTCACTTTCTGTGTGTATGCCCGGCGCTTGACCATATCAGATGGTCAGTTTTTGGCACAGTCTATACTACGCTGAAATTTTGGTGCGAGATATTATCTAATACGTCTGATCTTAAAAAAAAGTGTTTAAATTTATCCAAGAGGCTGCTGAGTCCCAATAACATTGTAACTACTAACCGTTAAGCAATTCTATGTATCTTTTATTAATCTTTAGTGTTCTCTTTTTGTACTCAATCGATTTCTCATTTTCTAAGAACTTCGTGTCCACAATCTTATTATGAAATAAAATAAATTGAAAAAAAAAAATCAAACAGAATAACAACAGAAATAAATTGAATAATAACTCAAAGATGATTGAACATTACCTACCTCAAACCAAAACATTAAATCATTCTAAGAAATTTCCAAAAAACCTATTTAAATGGTAGAATAACAACAGAATGCTACCGCCATCCTAACCTGCAACTCTCAACCAGTCAAATATTGCACCTATTCAAAGTGATACAAATGTATTACTCTTATTTATGTTCCTAATCTCATACTACAACTCACCAGTGTTGAAAATATAGTAATAACCCTCCCCCCCATTTCTTCTTTATTTAAAAAATTCTAAAAGTCATTTTTCAGCGATCTTATTTTTAAAAATTATCGTCAATTAAATCCCACATGACAAACAAAACACCACAGACCAGAAGTATGGACTAGCACTTTTAAGGGGCGGTTTAATAACACAAATCAGTCAATATTTATCAATTACCAAACTTAATCAATACTTATCTATATAATCAGAGATCATATATTATACCCGGTTTCTTATTGTCATTAATGAAATTAACAGTCCTATCGCTATGTTTCTTGATATGATACATTACCAGAAGGTCTAATTCAACTTTCCCTTTAACTGAACGTAGAATACTTGACTTATCAAAATTAAATTCATGTCCTTGGCTTTTTACATGATTCGATAATCCCGAACGATAAAGATGCGGATTCTTTTCACTTCTTATGTGCTCTTTTAATCTACTCTCAAAATATTTCGTTGTTTGGCCAATGTAAACTTTATCGCAAGTATTGCACGGTATCTTATATACCACATTAGACCTCTAATCCTTTGGTATTTTATCCTTCGTGGATCCAAATGTTAAATCCAATTTTCTGCTGCTAGATGAAATCAGCTTTACATCATAATTACAACAACGCTTAAGATTGCTAGTCAAGTCTGGCGCAAACGGAACTATTAATGTTTTTTTGAAATTAATTACCTCACTACTTTTGTCTTTAATGTTGGAGCTAGAAATCAATTGTACTCTATTGTTAGTTAAACCTGTGAAAACTTGTGCCGGATAATCATTGAAAATTAAAACCTTCTTAATGAGGGCCAAATTCTCATCCCATAATTTATCGGAAAGCCCTATCCTGTATGTTAAGTTGGCCACAATTGCTCGCTTTTGTGTCGTAGGATGTATGGAATTGAAATTTAACATTCTTCCACTTCACGTTGGTTTTCTATACCGATTGAAGCAGAGTCGGTTATTTTCCTTGATAAGCAAGACATCCAAACTATTATTTACTTCAATCTCATGAGTGAAATTAAGCCTAAGTTGATAATCATTGAATGTCTGCAAAGAGTACTGAATTTTATAGTGTGGAATGCACATAACAATATTATCCACATAACGATGATACAATGGAATGTCAAATTCACTACGAAGCTTATTCAAAACCGATTCTTCCAACAGACCCATTGCTAGATCAGTGCAAATGGGTGCCAATGGAGAACCCATTGGCAACCCGAATATTTGCTTATAAATCTTACCACCAAAAGAAAAGAGAGTATTTATTCATAAACGTATCTATTGCTTTAATTACTTCATCATATGGGAGACTGCATTTTAATTCACTTTTCCATTCAACTATTGCATCAGTGACCAATTCAAGTGGCACATTTGTATAAAGGCTTACCATATCAAATGAAACCAGCACATAATTGTCTGAAATAATTATATGCTTCAATTTATCAATTAAATCATAGAGCTGTTCTTTAAATGCGATGTAATTGCTTGCAATGGTGATAAAATACGAGAAATATATTTAGCTAGTTCATACAATGGACTATTGATTGAAGAAACAATCGGCCTGAAAGCCAACTGAGGCTTGTGCACCTTAGGTAAAATATATCATTTCGGTATCACAAAAGTTTTTACCATTAAGGTATCATAAGTGAGTTGGCCAGTGTACACTTTGTGTCATCTGAGCATATTGTAAATATGTCTCTAGATATGTATTCATGTCCTGCAGTAAAGTGACCCTAAACTTTAGTCTTAAACGTTAGTCTTTTGCATCTAACATAACCGTTGCTTGTCCCTCATCTGCTCTAGTTAAAAGCGAGCAATTGTGAACAATTTAACAGACAGGATGCTTAGGCTTTCCGATAAAGACTTTTGGGATGAGAATTTGGCCCTCATTAAGAAGGTTTTAATTTTCAATGATTATCCGGCACAATTTTCCACAGGTTTAATTAACAATAGAGTTCAATTGATTTCTAGCTCCAACATTAAAGACAAAAGTAGTAAGATAATTAATTTGAAAACAAACATTAATAGGTCCATTTGCGTTAGACTTAACTGGCAATCCTACACGTTGTTGTGCAAATTATGATGTAAAGCTGATTTCATCTAGCAGCAGAAAATTGGGTTCAACATTTGAATCCACGAAGGATAAAATACCAAAGGATCAGAGGTCTAATGTGGTATACTTATATACCACCGTGGTGGTAAGGTACCGTGTAGTACTTGCGATTAAGTTTGCATTGGTCAAACAACGAGAAATTTTAATAGTAGATTGAAAGAGCACATAAGAAGGGAGAAGAATCCGGATCTTTATCGTTCGGGATTATCGGATCATGTAAAAAGCCAAGGACATGAATTTAATTTTGATAAGTCAAGTATTCTAGGTTCAGTTAAAGGGAAAGTTCAATTAGACACTCTGGAAGTGTATGATATTAAGAAACATAGCTATAGGACTGTTAATTTCTTTGATGATATTGGGTGGTCAATAATGAGCAAAAACCGGTTTAAACTTCATTGAACTCCACCCAACTTAGGCGCAGAGGTCAAAGACATCGTTCTAGTCGTTTTTTGCTATAATGCCGAAAAATACTTACATAATATAAAGACCAATACACTGAGAGAAATATCGTCATAATATCACAAAACTAATTTCTTGCGCCGAATATATCATCTTTTTTTTACGCCTCGGAGTCCCCTTTTTCGGGTCCCATTCGGTACTCTATCCAACCCTATGCATGCGAGAGTGAATTCTATACTGTACCGCATTTGCACTCCGCTAGAAGATAAAAGTAGCATGGGGAAACCACAAAAAACCCATGCTGGTACAGGCGGTTCCTCTATTAGCAACCGCCCGCTCGCCGGAGCCTTCCGTGGAAAAATTGGGTTCCACGGAGAATCTAACTCACAACTTTTCGCACACTAGACTTGCGTCTAATCCACTCGGCCACCGACGTCGGTCAACATGTCATATCTTGAAGATAAATTGCTTGGGATAAGAATTCCGGATAATGTGTCAGAAAATGACAGATTTCGGTGAAGTGTTCATGACTTGAACCTGATCATTTCATGATAAAGTGAGAAATACTTGCCACAAGCTATCGGTTTTTTCGTGTCAGAAGCTAAGAAAATGACTAGAAATATTAAAAGCTTCCATTCAGTGAATCATGAATCAGAGACTTTCATATGTAATGAATCTCCATTCATTAGATATGAAACAAGAATAATTTGACAGAAGGAAAAAAAGATGTTGCTGCCCTTTGAACTCAAAACAATTGACCATAAGCGACGGTTATTTTTTTTTAATATTTGGAGGTTTTACTCTGCATAAAGTCTCCACTTTATGCAGAGTAAAACCTCCAAATAAAAAAAATAAATAACTGTCGCTTATGGTCAATTGCTTTGAGTTCAAAGGGCAGCAACATCTTTTTTTCCTTCTGTCAAATTATTCTTGTAAGGAATAATATCTTATCTTTTAAGGAATATTATCTCATTTCCAAAAAAGTCATTATCTTTTCATTCAGTAACTTCATTCTCATTCCGAAAAGCATCGATTTGGTATCTGAAACCTACCATAAATTGATCAAATATGCATGTGATGTTTTTCGCTCAAGAAATGATTTTTGTGATATCATGTCGATTTTTCTCTTAGTGTACACTTATTAGGAAAGTTTCACTTCAGTCGCGCGTGATTTTCACGCTCATATAGTTTTTAAAGATGAAAGTGCAAAAGTATAGTAATCCTCGTCAGACCCAATCTAACAGTAACTATACTTCGATAGAAGCTCGACGGGTTTTTCACGAGTATGAAGTCAACCGACCGAGGCAAAACTGAGGGCTGCCAATCACATAAGCTGAAAAATCCTCGTCGCAACTGTGTCGCACTATATTTTTTGTCAGTCGTGTATATTCAAAGAGTGGCGAACTGTACCTTCTTTCATTAATAGGTAAACGAAAAGATACTTTTAGGCATGAAGTGAACGTAGCCTTGCACGTAGCAGTGACAAACATATAATGTTATGTAAATCCTACCTCAGGAGCTGTTAGAGGATGGTATTTTACTGGCAACTTTATGCATGTTACCGTAAAAAGTTACCGTCATTTACTTTCCTAAGCATGAGTAAGAAAGTAGATGGCCGAGTGAGAAGATAAAGGCAAAAAATTAGAAGAAAATTAAACATAGTGGCTATTATTTATCTCTTATTTTTCATTTACTCAAGCTGAGTTATTCTTCATATTTAATTCGAATAATAAAATATTTTGAAACTAAGAATTTCTTATGATACTAAGGACAGGACTTTACATAGCGTTCCACATCTTGTGGAATTAAAATCTACTAAAAGAATGGATAGTCCCAATCGAGATTTATATCCGGGACTTTTCGAATATACATTAGGTGCTATGGAGTCTTCAGGCCCGTTGAATTGTGCAGTGATGAAACATTTTGCAGGAAAAGAGTTGCATTCTTCAATATATTACTTGCATCTTTGGTGTCATCAGCCTTTTGGAATTGGATGAGGATAACAAGATATGTCGTGACTGCACCTGCCATCTGCGGGAAAGAAGAAACTAGAAAAATATATGATTATGACTTTCTGATGAGACAGTTCTATCGGTAGCAATATCTGATTTAAATCTTCTATTGTGACAACGATTTCCAAAATTAACCGAACGGAATCCAAATTCTTCATTCGGAGAAAATGCTCAATCGAAGATAGCGGGAGTTTGTCACCATCGGCCTCTTCCGCCTCAAATTCCCCAAAATCCTTCGAAACCGGGACCAAAAAATATGTCAGCTACTCTTGCGAGAAACTGTCGTTGGGCACCAGTCGATTTTTGCCAACGCGGAATCACTAAAATTGCAACCGTAGACGTAAGTGAACGAAACGAGAAAACTAAAAATATAACTAGGATGGAGAAAATTAGAGGGAAAGGTTGCAGAATTATGCCCAGCCAGCTCGAGAGAAAATTTCGAGAGCGGGGTGGAATCGGTCTCTTGGTCTTAGGAATGGGGTCGCAAATAAAACGTGGCAACAAGAAATGCAATTAGAAAGAAAATTGAATTAAAATTCCCTTAATCATCTAGAAAATCGGAAAAATGGATAAATGACGAAGCTTTAGTTAAATAGAAAAATACCTCGCGTTTAATTTACCCACGTAATTCAAATACAATCTCAAAATCTCTAATTTTCTTTTAACAAAATGTACTTATCGAGAGTGAGAGTAGTCGAGTAGTTTTTAAGAGAGAAATATGCGCGAAAGGGAAAATATAGGGGATCTGGAGATGTCTTCGCCAACGATCACTCAGCATTATCCAGCAGCTGGAGTGCAGGAAGACCTATCGACAAGTCAAACTCATTCGTGACGAAAACCCGTGGAAGTATGACGGTTAAACAAAAACTAAAAAATTATAGAAAACTCTGGGGAACTAATATACTACTGAAAAGGTGCAATCGTACCGCCAGCTTCAAGTTGGATCTCCATCATGAGCATCATGGCTTCACCTGAATTTCAGGAAGTTCAGGAGCTACTTATTTTCGGTTTTCAGGGATCTCGAGACAACGAGAAGCCTTAAATTAGTCAATCAACGCATTGGGGAAACTTTGCCGAGCTAGAAAAGCACTCTATTGAGGCTGGAATTCACTCGGATAAAGAATTATCCCACCATGTCCACTGCACCTACATCAACGATGCATGGAGAGCGTGCGTGCACTTATTTACATGCGTTCTTTCCATCTTATGTCCTTAATCTGGCCTCAAACACTCCATAAACCCTCTCAGAGCGATCGGGAACTAATTAAGCACACGAATGGTGCGCTAATTGTTCTCCAAATTCTCTCATTGTCAGAGAGAGCACAGCGGCGTCACTTCGTGCAACTGAGTCCTGTGCAAGTGCCTCTCGCGGGTTTAGTTGGTGATTTTTCACTGGAAACTGGGCTCACTGGGTAGCAGGACATTCAGCAGGATAGTCAGAAACAATGAAACAACCACTCAAATCCCTGCTCCTAATTTTCTAGACCCAAATTATGCAAATTTAACAAAATCGAAACCACCAACGACTGCAATTAAATGTCAAATCTTAAAAATACGTAGTAGACCAGAATCGATCAACTTTCTAGCCCGAAAAAGAAACTTTAAAACCCTCATCGATCCCCCAAATCTAAAAAAAGAATTGAAAAAATTCGACTTACCATCAAACCAATCATAAAAACGGAAAAAAAATCAAAGAAATCTCCAAAATATTCCAATCAGGCTGCAAAACTCCAAAAAATCATAAAATAAGAGAATTCAAAATCTTAACGGGTGCAACCCCTCCGCTCACTTCTCGAACCCAAACACAAAAATTTCCGAATCCATAAAAAATAATCCACAAAATGGAATGGAAACCCTCCAAATTTTCAGCCACTTTCGAAGTATATTAAATGTGAAAATCTTCCAAATATACCTTTCAAAATCTTTTCATTAATCTACAAGACGGAAAAAACAAAAACCAAAAAACTCGGAGAAATCCACCAAAAACCCCCAAACTCTCAACCTTGCAATCAACCTGAACGTATTCATCGATCTGTAATATCGGAAACGAAAAGAAGCATAAAAACCCCAAAGATAAAAAATGAATAATAAAACCTTACAAATTTACTCATGAACGAAGTTTCATGACATCTCCCGGCAAATTTGAGGTAGTTGGAGCAGGGTAAGATTTTGCATACATTTTAGTTGGCGAAAACTTCTTTACTGAATTTTATGGTTTTTGACCAGCCAAATCCCAATATCTGTCATTATCTCTCTCATTTAACCGTTTATTGTGAAAACTTTGCCTTTTTGGGTAGAAATCTATCAATTTTAGAACTGTCGTGTTGAGGTCGAATGAGTTAATCTTGTTGCACGGTTAGAAAATTACTTCTGAACTTTGAAGTAAGATTTTTTTGAAATTTTTACCAATCACTCATTCACGGGAAATTTTTCTATAATTTTGTTAGTGAAAAATAAGTTGAATTTTGAAACATGCAATGGCATTGAAATTTTCAGGTCCACATGACCTGAATGAAAATTATTCAATATTTGGGAAATTCAAACAACCAATTTTCTGAATTTTTAATTCACTGGAAATTTAAGTGGATATGATGATCAATTTCCGCAACGAGTTTGACCATTCTAGATGTCATTGCAATATTAATGATAATCTAACATGGATAACCCAATTATTCAGAATTTTCAAGGTGAATCAGATGAACGTATTCTATGACCGATTTGATCTTAAATTGAATTCAAATTCACAACATTGAGAATTCTATTGCAGCTATTGCTTAATTTTCATTTTCTCATCGTAAAATACAAGTAAAAAGAACAAATGAGCGCTGCCAGAGCTTTAACCTCAATAATTGACAGATATGGAAAATTGAACTTTTTTTTCCTCATTCAAAATTAATTTTTAGTTCAATCATTAAATCAACATTAACAATTTAAATTCACAAACAAATCCGGAAATGAAGATTTGGTGGGAAAATTTCTCAATTTTTCAAAAAAAAAATGGTTGTTATGTCATGATTAATTTTTTCCGTGGAAATCACGAAAAGAAAGTTTAAATCGTCCAGATCATGACGATCACCACATTTCATTCCATTTTGATTCTTTTCATCCTCAAATACAGGAAACTTCCGATCTGAAATAATTTTGGTTCCGGAAATTAGCGATTTTTTTTTCTTCGTGTTTCAACTACCAAACCTGCCTCTCCCATTTAACCCTTGAGAACAAGTGGTCTTTTCGACCATCCTCCTGTTTGACCCTTAAGGGAGGTCTCACTAGTCTTTTTAAGTCTCAGAAATATTTGCCGGAAAATTTTGTCAATTTTTGCTTCCGAATGGAAGCATTGTAACGGTCGATTTTTCGATTCGCTAATTTTGCTTGGAAATAATGTAGAATGCTCTGAAACGTGAAAATACAAAATTTGAGGACCATGTATCTATGTGTGACCGAATGTGTGGATTGATTATTTCGAAAATTTTTATAAATCACGACAAATAAAGGACTAAAGTTGAAGCTACAAATCTGAAATTTTTTCACAAAAATTGGTATTATTTTGGAGCATTTCTGGGCCCAGTTTCAGCCCAATAGGCCCAGTATTTTCTGAGATACAGCAATTTCTCAAAAATCTTTGTTCCTCAATATTGCAAAAACTACATGACCGATTTGAATTTTTTTGACGCCAAAATCTTCTTTGTGATAATCTGTTGGGTCAAATCGTAATATTGCTATTTAACTATCGACAGTTTGGTAATAATTGGAATTTTTCATTTTTATGAAAAAATCGTTTTACGCATCATAGCGCCCCCAAAAATTAAGATAGAAAGTTGAAATCTGGTACGATTATAGTCTTTATGATATTACAGAACTGAATTTTGGATGAGAAGAATCGGATGAGTAGTTTAAGAGATATTTAACTTTTTGTGAAAAACTGTAATGCTCAATATCTCCGAAACTACTGGTCCGATTGACTTTTTTTTTCAAAATATTCGTCATGGTATCTTCTATCAAAATCAATCAAAATATGCATACCCTCCCATACAAAGTTATGATTTTTTGAAAATTTTTCTTTTTTTTCGATGCATGTTTTTCAGGTGATTTTTCTTTTCAAGTTTTCAGCAATATGTAATTTGGGTTTGGAGGTATCAAATCGGGGTTTTGTACATGAAATATACATGAGGTATTCCATGTCAAATGAACAAATCGTTGACCATCACCTCTTCAAAAACTGACGGCGATTTTTCTGGTGATGACGGAGTATAAAAAAATATTTCCTGAATTTTTTCACAATTTCCGGAGCCTATGGTCTATATGATTTTTTTGGTTTTTTTTTGTTTTTCATGCATAACTTCTATTCTTTTTAATCGATTTCCATGAATAAAAAAAGAAAATTTTCGTTTTTTGGTCCACTTGCAGAATATATTTTTTCCATACTTTTATTCCCGCTTTCTTCTGATGCCTCACACGTGAAAACTTCGAAGAAATAACAAAAAAATTGAATTTCGCCCACTTATGACGGTCTCGATTTTTTTGAAAAAAATTACAAAGATTCCTACCCTCAAAAAAATTATTTTGAGCCGTGCTAAATCATGGGCAAAACCTTGGATCCAATTCATTTTGTGTTTTTTCTGTAAAATTTTTCTCATTTTCTATCGCCGTTGACATTGAATGTTCAAAAAAGTTCTTAAAACATCCAATGTTCCTAATTTTTGTTCAAAATGGAACTAAATTAAAATCAAAGATTCATCGATTTTGTTATGCATCATTTACATCACTTTTTTCAATTATTATCCTTATGAGCACCTTCATATCAATCATTTTAGAATTCATCGTAACTTGAAACACTTCGCTGACATTTCAATTTTTCGCGCCGCTGCACGGAACGCAGCGAGACGCGCACCAGAGGATCTCAGTGCCTCATCTCATTCGCATTCGAACGATACCGGTTCGTTTTAAGGTTATGACAATTCACCGGTCATTCACAAGATCGTTTCTTCATATTGTGGAGGTATTTTAGTATTTCATACA